TGCTTTGGAAGTTAAATTGCTGTTCATGTTTAACATTCTTTCGATCAATTCGTAAGTCAACTCAAGGCAGTCAGCCCCAAAGGAGTAAGTTAAGATCTAGTTTTAAAGTAAAGTGATTAATGTACTTCTGACGCCTTATTAAATGAGAGTTCTATAACTGTTAAGTAGTAACATATATCTTAACAACAAGTAAGCAGTACATAACGATTACATTTACGCGTTAATACGATGAAGTATATACTTTATTTAAGTAACACCAAGGTAATTTCTATCTAGATATTTATACCGGCTCGATTCATCCATCACATGTCACTGCAATTTCCAGTAACCCTGATCTATCTAAGGTAAAATCCTTTTTATAAGATTTGCTATCTTTATTAAAAACTATCAACTATCTTGGCTTTGGCAGGGCTAATTTTAAAATCTTTCAGCAATATCCAACACAATCATAAACTTCTTTCGTCCAATACTCGCTTTAACTACTGCATAATCTAAACTGGATCAATAGCATTTACTGTACGTTACTCCGTATAATGACTATTGTTAGATAGAAAGTATCGGTATCATATTCATGCAATGAGTGAAACAAGTGTACAAGGCTATTGCATGATATAAGTAGCTCTTTCTTTATAACATAAATTGTAGAGTAAACTATTATAATATTAAAGGGAGATGCAGTTCCATCAGTAAGAAATAGTTTCTTATAAATTAATTAATGAATTAATTATAAATCCAATTCGTCTAATATTCACGTTGCCAGCACAATAGCTAAAATTACTAAAATTACGTTATATTTTGCTAAGATTTTCAAACGGTATAGGCATATGTCACGGTACGAACTACCGTGAAGAAATAGCCATCTGAATCTGGTTAATATAATATAGTGATAATGTATTACAACTAGTTACTTATAGTAGGAATTACTCTAATTATAAATGTGCTACAGTAAATTTAATGCTGTGCTGTAATGTGTACTGAAATGATTCTGTGAATGGACACATATTGTAGTCCGACTGTGAAAAACTAGTTAGTAGATGTTCTCCTATGTATTTTTATAAGACGACTTGTGAATGTTAGCTGCTGTAGAAGGGTATATAAGCTCGTCAGATAGTTGAATAAAGCAGTTCTCAATTGTCTAGCTGAGTTTAACGTAGAATCAAAGGCGTTTAATTCTTGTGAGGTAGTTAAGGGATACTAGATCCCGGAAACTAATAGTAATTTAGAGATTTGTTTACGTTATCCTTGTCACGAAGCTGGTTTGTGACAGCATATCATTTATTTACTGTGATAAATATTATCTATCACCGGTTGTTCAGAACAATTATGTTAAGTGAGATTCGCGATAAGCTCTTACAAGTATTTAACTTTGATGCAAGGTTTATATTAAAGTCGAATTACCTCATAATTACGGAGTGAATAATTTGGGGTGGCTGCAGCTTTACAACGCAAAAGATAACTTGCCTTGGGAAAAAGAGATATCATTTTATACATACATCAAATCAAAAGACTGTAAATTAAAGAATATTATGGGTTGTTTGTGGTACTGTAAAGGAAATGAATGTAGAATCGAAATAGATGGTGGCGAGAAGCTATTTCCGGATAAATTGTAGGTCGTATGTTTTCAGTTTTCATAAGGAGTTATGTATATTCTGTATTTATACAGGTATATTTAGAAGATATATCCTTTTTTCGCAGTATAACTTGTTTTACAGCAGACGCCAATGACATTATGCTTCTGAGCAATTCCATCCGTTTGCAATCCGATTACCTGACATCACATCGGATTCTGCAAATTAGTATGAATATTATACAAGCAATTCAATCTTTGCACCTGAATAATATAGTCCATGGATCAATTAATACCGATGCTGTTATTCTACTTATTTCGCCGAAGGTACGTAATAGCATATTTAAAGACAGATATTCTAACGATAATACAACAATTCTGAAATATTTAAGTTCTATTAGTTTATTTTGACCATGCCTATAATTTGTGCATGGTTTGCCTACAAAACTAATATCTTCATTAATTTACTTGAATGTAGTCTATGCCAGTGGTATCAATCAATATAAGAATGGGTCTTTAAATAATTCTTACTACGATTAATCTACTTATAAAATAAATTTAGAATTAGAAATTTATAGATTCATGAATATCGCTTTCCACTCAAATACAATATAGAAATACTGTATCGCTACTAAAAATTATTAGTAGTCAATAAATTTCAGAAAACAATTCTGGTCATTCGAATATCATCCTTATTACGAATCAGTCGAATTTCTATTACTGTTTATAACGCTACTATCTTTCCTTTATCGAAAAGTCATGATATAACTGATAAATTATTACTTGCTTAAATCTATATATCTAGGAACCGATTACCGCCTTATTAGGCAAATTTTCAAATACGACGATATTTAAAAACGATCTTCATGAAATATACAGAAATCGATACTGTCAATCAATGAAAGCAGATATTTCTGACTTTGCATTATTGTGCAATGAATTAAGTTCATACTGCCAAACGCAAATCGATCAAATTAATGAGAGCCAATTGCTACCAGATAAAGTGATGCAGGCTAGCGAAGGTATTGAATCTTGGAGATCGGTAAACGAGAAAGTAAGTATCTACTTTAATAAACTGCATTAACTGTACGTAGTTGACTTCTAGCGACATGTGCTTAGCGAAAGCAGTAATGATATAACTAAACCTTAAGTAACACAAGCATATTGTAAGGTAGTAAAACAGTAATCACTATCGTAAACTGTTATATTATACTTGTATGTCTATAACTAGTTGCATTGACGTATAGTGATTGCTCTAAATGCTAATAATATTACAAATCTATAATAGATTCTTTGATGTTCATTAATCTAGTAAAACATTTATCAAATTTTTAGTTACGTATTGTCAAAGATGCCATCGATGATCAATTACAGGAAAATAGAGAACCAAAGCAAATTTTAGCTGATCTATGGGCCATTACTAGTGGTGACTAAAAGGATTTCATAGCCTACTCATCACTAAGTGTACCGAATAGTGTGAATTGATCATTCCCAATAATTAATCCCTGATGATACAATAGCCTGAAAATTAAAATAGAAAATCGAACTCAGTAAGAATGATGAAAATAACTTGTGACTCGAGTTTGTGCTTTTCTTAAATATAGCTTTAACAATGAGAGTAGTTCATTAAATCTATAGTGTTATGGATATTTGACCAATGTCTGAATACACTGGTAGATTTCTATTTCCGTAAACGGTTATATTTATCATAGCAATTTTACTATAATAATATTAGAAAGTAAGTACTGTCCTTTACCTTTCGGATAGTATCGTTCACTCGGCTTAGGACAAGGTCAGTGATGAATGACCTAGAGAACTCTGGTAACTTCCCCGATAAAATTGTAATTAAAAAAAAAACATACAAACTGCTATATTGCTTGCGAGCAATGTTTTGCTGCCTTAATTGATTTCAAGAGTCTATGATAGGAACATTTAATTACATTTATCGTCTTGTATATGATAAATACATATCCCAGTAATTATATAAAGTTTAGCATTGACATATGTGTAAGGGCACTGAAACCAATTTAAATCGTGATACTCTTGCTAATAAACTTCGTTCTTTCAATTTTGAAGCTCTCATATAAAAATTTCACATGTGTAATGTTCTCGTCTCCTTAAAAAGAGTTTACCGGTAAAATTTAAACTAGTGCACATCAATAAAATCTTTATATGCTTCTGTTGTGCTTGTAGGGACTTTGATGCACCCATCGAGGCATCTTGTATTCTCACTTAAGGCTAAAACTATCGTTTCTAAAACTATTCATTGACAGTACTCGACTATTCTAACGTCTAAATGTAATATTCTTGTGTCACAAACCAGCTTCGTGACAAGGATAACGTAAAATAAATCTCTAAATTACTATAGTCTCCGAGATTCAGTATTCCTTAACTACCTCACAAGAATTTAGACGCCTTTGATTCTACGTTAAAACAACTATACAATTGAGAACTGCTTTATTCAACTATCTGACGGGCTTATATACCCTTCTACAGCAGCTAACATTCACAAGTCATCTTATAAAAATACCTGGGTGAGAACATCTACTAACTAGTTTTTCACAGTCGGACTACAATATGTCCATTCACAGAATCATTTCAGCACACATTACAGCACAGCAATAAATTTACTGTAACACATTTATAATTAGAGTAATTCTTATTGTAAGTAACTAGTTGTAATATAATATCATTATATTATATTAACCAAATTTAGATATCTATTTCTTCACGGTAGTTCGTACCGTGACATCTTGATACCGCTAGTCCACTCAAGTCTTTACTGCAAATTTTATGCTTTGGTGAATATGCTATTGTTTGTAAACCGAAAGTTGTGCACAGGAAAAATATAACTATTATAGAATTCTACAACTATTATCTTCTGTCAGATTTATCTTTCCCGACACTATAACTTTAAATTTTGGCGATCTGCTATCGATAGGAGGAACAACAAGGCCACTAGTCTCTCGTTAGATAAATCCGAGCCCAAGCATTATTGAAAAAGTCAGCCTATTTATAGTAAATCTACATAAAAATTAATTATCAGCTTGTAGATATTACAAAACTAAGCAACTATCTATTAAAAGCATGTAAAACGTCATAGATAATTTAATAGGAACACGCTTCTAGATAAGTTATCTTACAGAACCTATTACAGAACCTATGTTACAACAGCTACATAATAGTAACTTTAATAGTTGCTAGTGGATAGAATGATTTACAATCAGTTATAAACATTCTATTGCTACGCTAGCCCTATGATATCCTACCTAGTAAATAAGATTTTATAACACCTATAATACAGCTTATTTCAGGGCCCTAGCTCTAGTGATCTTTCTTGACACAAAAAAAAACTTACAAAAGGAGAATTGTAATGGAGT